TAATGAGGGGGCCCTTTGGTTGGTCATGACCGGCTTTACTAGCTGTTGGTGGGCTCAAACCCCCTCTCCAGAATTATGGAGGCTACTAAATATGAAAGACGTAGTTTGGGACACACCTCTGAATTTAAAAGTGAATATATCGTTTTTTTAAATTTAATTTTATACCTTTTTATCTTTTTTCTTAGTATACGCGATACTTAATGTTCTAGAGGTGTGCAACTTATTTTTTCTACCGTTTTGATGTGTTTTTTTGCTTCTCAGGTATCAAATATATTGATATGACAGTTTTGTTACAAACAAAATTACTGTACATGGGCATAATGATTATTTATTAATAATTAACTGCAAATCAACTGTTTTCCAACAACACAAACCAAACAACCAACCAGCTTATTCGGATAAGCCGCTCATCAACAACTTATTTGGATCGGTTGGTCATCAACAGATTGTCATTAAACTGCAGCTGCCCCAAACAAACCGTAAGTCTCTAACTCATTCAACCTAATTTTATTTTCTTTTATTTTTTACTTTTTATTTGATTATATATCCCTTCTTATTTAATTGAATGAAATTTTAATTTATTTTTCTTATAGCTCTTTTTTTATGTATTAGCCATAATACATTTTCATGTTAATAAAATTATAAGGTGATATATGAAAGACAATTTGGTGTACGAACTTCGTTTGAAATTCCAAGCCACCAATATTGTTGTCGAATATGAAACACTTGTCACCGGATTAAAGCTTGTCATCAACTGTGAAGTACAAAACATAATTAGTTATACTGATTCAACTCATCGCAAACTCATCGCATCCCAAGTAGAAGGAGAATACGACGCTCATAACTCACAACTGGTGTAGTATCTATATCTCGTAAAAACACTTCTAGCCCAAATTGAAACATGTCAACTCATTCACATACTTCGGGAGCATAACACCCGAGTCGATGCCCTCTCCAAGCTTGTAATGTCAACAGCCGGAGATCTTTATAAAAGAATGTACACTGAGGAGATACATTTTCTTAGCATCCATGGTTTATTGGTAATACTGTCTATAGATGACCCAAGGGAGTCATCTTGGATGTATCCCATCATCTCCTTCCTCCAAACCGGGAAACTTCCAGATGATGGTACTACACCAATTCGCATCTGATGCATGGCTGCCAAATTCATCCTTATAGGGGATGAACTGTATAAGAAAACATTCATAGGTCCACATCTTAAGTGTCTTCCTCTATCTAAAGCTGGTTATACTCTACGAGAAGTTCATTCCGGTATATGTGGTGAGCATCTTGGTGGCAGGGCACTTGCTCTTAAAATAATGAGACAAGACTTCTACTGGCCTACGATTAAATAAAATGCATTAGAGTTTGTGCAAAAATGCAAGAATTACCAATTATACTTCACTCGTACGCATGCACCGCCAGCGGAACTCACATCTTTTCTTTCTGAGTCCTTGGCCTTTCGCCCAATGGAGGGTAGATATCATGGGGTCTTTTCCGATAGCTATTGGACAACGAATATTTATCATCTTAGCTGTCGAATACTTCACCAAATGGGTAGAAGCAGAACCTCTTGTCAAGATCACTGAGGTCAATGCCAAACAATTTGTCTGAAAAAACATCATCTGTCTCTTTGGGCTTCCCGTAAAGATTATCACTAATAATGAGACTCAAATCACTGGAAGAGTCTTCACATCATTCTGCAAGGATCTTCACATTCAGTTGGTGCACACTGCTGTGACGCATCCCCAAATGAATGGACAGACAAAGGTGACAAATCGAACGGTGCTCAAGGGGTTGAAGACTCGTCTTGAGATGACTGAGGGGCAATGGGTAGAAGAGCTGCATAATGTCCTTTGGGCCTATCGTACCACCACACGAACTCCTACCGGGGAAACTCCATATAACTTGTGTTTTGGCACCGATGTTGTCATCCCCGTTGATATCAGAGTTCCAAACCCCCGAGTCAAGACTTTCGACTCAGATAACAATGATCAAAAGCTACAACAACAGTTGGATCTTCTCCCAGAAATACGTGATGCGGCCCACCTCAGAGCTGCTTCTTACCACCAAGGAATTGCTCGCCACTTCAACCGAAGAGTAAAGCCTCGACCTATCTCCATTGGTGACTTGGTTTTGCGTAGTATCGAAGTCGCTGGTCATGGTCCCCAACGCAACAAATTATCCCCTCTCTGGGAAGGCTTATACATCGTGGCTGCCATGATCAAGCCTGAAACCTTCAAGATCAAAACTCTAATGAAAAAATCTTGCCCCAGACATGGAATGCCGTGAATCTTCGAAAATACTACCAGTAACATTTCAGTTATATCATCTATGTCATATTGCATACAATGTCAATGTATCTCAGACTTATTAAATAGTATTTACTTGCTTTCTTCTACAAAAAGAAAAAAAAGAATATCTTTAGAAAATGTAACAGTTCATTCGGGAGTCACTTTATGCTCTTGACCCAAGAAATACACAACTCAGGTTGTATCTTAGTCAGAGCACGATCGATCCTAGGGGGATTTGATCTAATCTCTTCCAAATGGGTTAACATCACCGAGTTTTTACTTTAATAAATAACCCAAGAAAGGTTAACAGTCCTTGGTGGGCTACACTTGATACCTTTCACACAGGTTCATAAGTGAGCAATGCTCCAACAAACAACCTCGGATGGGTTAATAAGTCATCGGTGGACTTTCGCGGGATCCTCCCATACATGTTAAACATCACTGAGTAATACTCTGATGCATAATCTCAGTCAAGTAAAAGGTCACTGGCAATTTATTCCCACGACAACTTTCTTACATGACATTGGGCATCCAATGCATCAAGCGACTGTGATACTTCACCCAGCACGTCGCTGCAATGAACTACCACAACACGTCGCTGCGCTGCAACGTATCGCTCTGACGCACTATCATAATGCGTTGCTACGTTGCAAGTCACCACTACGCACCACCACAACACATCGCCGCCACTCAAAGCATCACCCTAACGCGTCGTCACGCCGGGACGCATAGCTGTAACGCGTTACATCATCACAACACACTATTGCAACGCGTCGTCCCATCGTCACACGTCACTGCAACACGTTGCCCAACCGTGTCGCATCGCCGCAACGCGCAGCCTTAACGTGTCGCTCCTTCGCAAGGAGTGCCACAGCGCCGCCGCAACGGGCTGCTACGCGCGTCGCCGCGTCGCACCACCCCGCCGCATCGCCACACCTCCACTTCTTCTTTAGGCCCCTATTTATAGGCTCAAAAAGAGTTTTGGCCAATTAATGCACATTAATATATAAATCTAAAAATAAGTGCAAGCATTAAATGCTCATAAATAATAATAAATAAAGACTTTTCAAATTAAAAAAAAAATTCTTTTCAATTTTTTTCCTTCTTTTTTAACCTTTGAAATTCGTTATTTTTTTCAAATTCTTTTATAAAATATTATTTATTCTGTTTTAGGCAGGATTCAAACTTCATCTCTTCCACATAAAACAAAAGAGACTAACAAACTAAGCTGAATTCAGCTTTCTATTTATAAAGGGATTAAAGTTATTATTATACTAAGTAAGATATACATATTTTTTTACATAAATACTCCGGATATTAATATTTTCGAATGATAAAAAGAGTCTCGCCCAAAATTAAGGGGACAACTGATACACCACCAACAAAATTTCATCTTCCAACACGAATCTCCAGATGATATTTTAAGCAAGAAACATTGAAATCTTAATAAAAAGTCATCCAGAACTCCAATTTCAGCAAATATATAGTCAAACTGACTGGTTCGATGAGACAAACCTAATGATATAAAAACTAGCCCAATCCAAGTCAAATAAAACCTAGATCAAGTCATTAAATCATAGTTAGAAGATTTATGAATGCATTTGGAATGTCAAACGACTGTCAAATATGATAAGTTTATACTCAAATCGAGCGACTCGACAAGACGAATCCAACGAGCCTAAGATCACTCAATTCTGATATCATTAAGGCACTCAAACGTCTATTAAACGCCGTATGATCGAGGGAAGCTGGTTCATATTCCTGCATTAGTTGCACCCAAAACACTATAAATAGAGCCCCATCCCTCTCATGAGAGAGGAGGAAGTGTGGAGAAAGGGTTTGAGGTCTTGAGAAGAAGCTATAGATCAACACCATCGCCGACTGCCGTCGACCACAACCGACCTTTGTCGTCGACCGTCGTCAATCGCCGACGACTACCGCCGACCTCAAACGACCACCGCCTACCGTCGTCGACCACCGCCGACCGTCGTCAACCACCAACTACCGTCAAGAATCACCACCAACCAGACGTCGTCAGTCGATAGTAATTTGAGAAATATAGTTACTCCTTCCCATCTGTGGGATAAAAAAATTATGTAATCATTTATCAATAGTGGATTTTTGCAACTGGCTTAAGCCCCGTCGTTTTTCCATAACAGGTTTTCCACGTAAAAACTTTTGAAGTCATCACCTTTTTTTATTTCATCTGTATGTGTGCTTAAATTTCGTACAACTCTAAGACGATAATTTGTTACTCTACCATCACTAATTTCTTAGCACTCATCGTAAGGGTTCTCACAATATAATAATAAATGGATGCTTATATATTTGTCATAATCTTTTTATATATTTATAAATCCAATATATAAAATTTTATATCTATTATGCAGCTCAAAATTTAAAAAATAGACATTTACATGCATACCGTTTAATTCGTATATAGCTAACACCAAAATTTTATTTCTTATATTTTTACCACCTAAATCTTTCACGTCACATTTTAATAAAAAGTTTTAATTTTTTAAAAGTAAAATATTCTTTTAATATATATATATATATATATATATATATATATAAGATAAAATTTATGTGAAAATTAAAGTTTAGGAGTTAGACATATAAATGCACAGGAACTTAAAGATATTTATATAAAAAAATGCATAAGACCCATAAATGCCCTGAATAAGATTGTTCGCACGTGACAGCCACGCAAATTTCGCTGTCTGCGTGCGTCCTCTCCTCTCTTTTTCTCCGCCTCCGATAATCCCTAAGCGAACGCATTTCTTGCGCTCTTCAAATACGAGCTTCTCTCCTCCACTTCACACGCTCTTTGTGCTTATACGCGGTTTCTCTCTCCCTCCCTCCCCACGCTCCTCCCTCTCGTTCGCTCGTTGATCCGTTACAGGGATAAGAATGGCCTCAACCGCAGGAGTGGGGATCTCAATCTTGCCGCCGCCGGCGAGTTCCCGAAAAAGCCAGGTATCTCTCCCTTGGATCACATTTTAACCTCGTCGAATTTGTTTTTCACTAGGTCTCGATGGATCTGATTATTGGAGCCTCTCATTCTTGATATTATTTGATTTTTTTTTGTTTTCGGAAGGGTACCACTGATGATTTATCATTATGCGTGTTGTTTTTTTTTTAAAAAAAATTATGCGTTTTGCTCTTTGATGCTTGATCTGATTCCTGGCAAATGGACTAGTTTATTTGCTACTTTGGTCTTCTAGTTGATTTTTGTAGATGCTATTATCCTCGAAGCAATAACTTTCTTGGACTCAAACTCTCTGGATTGTTTAGCTAGTGAAAGCATCGATTGGGTGGCATTGTTTTTTTACATTAAAAAGTGCAATACATGTTTCCTTGGGAACTGTTTTTTCAAGGAAAAAATGACTCGTAGGTAAACGAAATTTTGATACTTGTTTTACACGGAAGTTGTGGTGGTGAAGTAATTTCTGGCTTTCCTGAACACAAGTTGTCAAGAAAGATTAGGGTTGCCCCGAGCATTTTGGGCCCCCAAATTCAATCCAACGATCATGTCTCCTCTTTGGAGCTGAAGGAGCTCTTGTTTTGATGTGTTTGTACGGCACATGCTTTTTTTTCTGTGACGTGGAAAGGGGAACCTTTGATAGAGTAATTTTTCATGACTCAATTTTCATAGAGGTTAATTCATCATTTAATTTTTAGATATTCTCAAATATATTGGATAGTATTGATACTTAGGGCTATTAAAGATTTGATTTCGAGCCGAATAGGGGTCGAAAAAATTTCGGTCCAAAATTTTGGATTGTAGCTCGGCTCATTTATTTCGATCTGAGCCAAAATTTTGATGAATTTTTGAGCGATTAAAAACCTTCGAGCTAACTATGCTAAATTTGCCAAATGTTCGCAATGAGCCATCCATCCCAGCACAGAGGAGTCGGCAGGCTTCACGTTGTCTGGTGTAGAACCTCGACCATCTCCTGCACCCGACATGCCACTGACCTAGGAGAGTCTTCGTCACGCAGGCTGATCCTGCTGAGAGTCTTTGCCCGCGTCGGTCAACAAAAAATGGGGGAGCATGATCACATTATGGGACTCAACGACATCGACAGAAACCGAGTTGACCACATCTCTCGGCGGCCCGCCGCCCTCGACATGCTTTGTCCCATTCGTGAGTTGTACGATACCCCTTTAATAGTTTGTAACACTACAGAGGCCTTACCGTAATGTGATTGCATGAGCTTGTAACACTATGGTCTTTCCGTTGATTTCTCCAACTGAACTCCTTTGGTTTGTGAGTTAAAACTTCCTTAGCTCAACCTCTAAGCATATCACGATAGTATTTTGAGATGTGATGACCCTTTTGAGTCTTATTCAGCTTCCTTCAAATATTGCTTTGGTCTTGTGAGTTGAAATTTATTTTCCTAAGGCTATAAGTTTGGGAGCATATTGTTCTGAGATGCAATGACATTTATGAGGCATTTTCATTAATTTTATTTCTTGAACTTGACCATCACTATGCTAGACCTACACCTACGACGCCTTCTGTCGTGTGTTTCATTGAGTCGAGTGGTCCAACTGAACCAACACCGATCCGCCAAATAATTTGAAGAACTATATTAGGCTCAAGACTAAAAGAAAACTTCAGTCATTTGTTAGTTATTTTTGGGTATAAATAGGGTTTAATATGATTAGGGTTAGGGTTTGAGATTGTTGTCTTGAATCTTAGGAGTTAGGGTTGAGGAGAAAATTGCCTACCTTTCGAATTGTAAGTTTATCTTTTATGTATTTAGGATCGTATTGTTTTGTGTCGGTATAGTAAAATATTTTATTTTACCTAATCTTTGTGGAAACTTGTTTTGTTCCTATCAAATTGGTATTAGAGCCATACCTGGGAGTAATGGCAACTAAGAAAGTCAATGCCTTGGAGGATAAATTAGTGGGAAAGGCGAGTCAAATTAGATAGGAATGGATGAGGATTTCTCGTCCATAGAGGGGCAATTCACGACTGTGGAAGAAATGATGAAAAAATTGTGGAGTTCGATGTAAACCCACCACCACCTTCCATTGGATCAAGCGACGACTTCTCTAGTGATGAGAGTGGTAGCAATTAGAAGGAATGGCATTGCCTTAGGGTTACACGGTAGGAAGCGAACTCGAGCGACAGGAGGGCTGAAACAAGCAGAAGCAGGCTGAATGAGATGGTGTCTTGCGATGCGGGCCTGAAGACTACAATTCCAAGGAATTTGGCCGCTAGGAATTGTGCGACATCAGGAGGGCTGGAGCGAATGACAACAGGTAGAATGGGATAGTGGTTTGTGATCTGTGGTTGGAGAAGATCGATTCAAAGGATTTTGACCTGGAACAAGGAACCATGGTGGGTGGGAACCCGATTGAGGGTTGCATCTACTCGTACTAGTGACTTTTTCTATGACAAAATTTCTTGTAATAGGTAATTCATGAGCCTATGGGCATGGACGAGCCGATTATGGGACGAGCTAGACTTAAGTAAGAAGAGAAATCAATATGAGTTGAGGAAGAGAATCCAACTATTGTTTCATGGGTGGAATGTGCTTTAGTTGAAAAAATTGGGAAGGAGACTGACATAAGAAAGCTAAAGATGTCTTTCTTTGAAGGAGATGATGCTTATGGTTAGGTTTATCACGTGAAGAGATACATTGTTGTTAATAGGCTGATGGAGTAAGAAAAATTAAAGGTGACGACCCTATATTTTGAAAGGAAGGCTCTAGCATGGTATCTAGCCAATCAGAACATGAGAAAAATTTAAGGATCGATTATTGGAATGTTTTAAAACCACTCGAGAAAGGGATCTATACAAGCAAATTTTTGCATTGGCACAGGTAAGGTTCGTCATAGATATTATATAGTGAAATTTGAGAAGATATCCGACTGCTTGAGAGGGGTAACAAAAGTAGCGTTGGAAGGAAACATCATGAAGGGGTTAAAGATAAAGATTTGAGCAACACCTCGTCTGTTGAGATCATGAGAATTGAGAGAAACTATGGAATTATCACATTTGATTGAAAATAAAAATGCAATGGAACAGGTTAATAGTCGAACAATTGGATCACCACATCGAAATGATATAACCATGATGGTACGAAAAAATCAAACATTTGGATTCCATAGAGAGGCTCCACGAGATAGGGTATCCGGCCACGACTGGGAGCGACCTTCAAATGCCTTACAAAGACGGTGATTCAAGAGAAGCAAGCTAAAGGGCTATGTTTTTAGTATGATGAGAAGTTTGTCCCAGGACTTCGTTGCAAGGATTAGCTTTTGCAGGTTTTGACAGCGTGTGATGAGGAGACAAAGAATGAGGAAACATAGGAGGTTGTGGTGGAGGATGAGGATTATCCTGACTTGAATGTAATAGAAGTCTCATTGAAGTCAATGATGGGGTAACACCAAACTACACTATGAAACTTCATGAACAAATTGAGGGACAGGACGTAGTGGTGTTGGTAGATATCGGGACCACACACAACTTCATCTCCACTAAAGTAGTGGAATCATTGGGGCTTGGGATGCTTGATATGGGAAGCTTTGCAGTAATGATGGGGACGAAATAATTGGAGAAGAGCAGATGAGTTTGTAAAGGGTTGGTTTTGACACTACAGAGTATTCAAGTGATAGAAAATTCTTTTCCCTTGGATTTAGGGAGCACTGATGTTGTATCAGCTATGAAATTGTTGCAGTCCTTTGGGAAGTTTAAGATGAATTAGAAACTCTTGAAAATGGAGTTTCAATAGAGAGACAAGAGGATAGTGCTTCGTTGTGACTCTAGTCTGTGCAAGACATTGGTGACACTCAAGACCATAATTAGAGTAATTTAGGATGTAGAGTTGGGGTTCTTTCTTTGATGGAGCTGCATAGAATGAAAGAGACACATGATACAGTGTTGGTAGAGATTTTGGCACCTTTTACAGCTCTTACAATAGTTTGTAAAAGTTTTTCGGTTGCCATACAAATTGTCTCCTTATAAAGAACACAAGAATGCCATAACCCTCGATCAGATGGGCTAACTTCCTCTTTTTACTGGTGCCCCCCTCCCTTTTCTCCTGGTTGGATCAAGGCCAACGTTGATGGGGCTTTCCTCACTTCAGGCCTTGCTAGTGTGGGAATCATTATTCGCAATGAAGTGGAATATTGTTTGGTTGCGGCTTGCTTTAGAATGATGCATTTGGATAGCCCCCTTGTTGAGATTGAGGCGGTATTACACATTAGCATGCTAATTGAGCCCCAAATGTTTGAAACTCACGGTATTATGGTGGAAGGTGACAACAAAAACGTGGTGGATGCTCTCCGACGTACCATGGAAAGGGGCACTTGGATGCAACTGGAGGAATGCAAGCTGACCAACTTTCATCAGGTGCTCTTTTCTTTTGTTCCCAGGTCTAACAATGAAGCAGCTCACTTTTGTGCATAGCTTGTCTTACAAAATAGTTTTGTTTTTAAAAGTCTACAGGATAGACATCCCTTGTCTATTTTTGTTAAAAGGGATAGGAATTTTTGCGAGGTTACCTCATTGTAGCCTCTTTTTTGCTTTTGTTGTCGTGGCTTGTTAGCCTCTATTGTAATTTTTTATTTTATATTAATGCAAAATGCACACCCTTCACGGGGGTTTCTGGGCTTCTCCCATCAGTGTGCGTCCATACCACTACTTCAGGTGCGAAAGGATGAGATTGAGAGATTGATCTAAGAGATGTTGGAGGCAGGGATCATACAACCTAGTGTGAGCCTCTTTTCTAGCCCGATCTTACTAGTGAAGAAGGATGGGAGTCAACGCTTACGTGGGGATTATCGAGCCGGAATAAAAAAATAGTACTTGACAAAATTTTCATCCCAGTGATTGATGAACTACTGTATGAGTTGTTTGGGGTTATAGTTTTTTTCAAGATTGGCTTAAAGTTAGGATACATTAAATTCTGATGCGACCATCAGATATGAACAAGATTATCTTTCAAACTCATGAGGGT